TGAACAACATGTCCGAGGAGTTCCACGAGATTAATTGAACGAGAGAGCGCGTGAGTGAGACTTACCCTCAAATAAAAGTTGTTCATCACCAGATAGGCGGCCGTGGTCGGCCAGGGACTCTCGAACAGCATCGACACGCACGAGATGACGGTGACGAACACCATCGACCAGTCGAGATACGGCATCAGCCCCAACAGTGCGCTAAACGGAGCCCATTCTACCGTACCCACTCGTGACCTACTGTAGCTCCTTATATTGGCGCTGCCCTTTGACAGCCCCTCCAAGCGACGTCTCCTCGCTCATGTCGTATTTTGCGTGCACGATTTTCTTGCAGAATTCGCGGATCTGGAAGGGAAATTTTGAAATTTTGCTCGTCTTCGCTTATTTCTTGTCGAAAAATTGGGGCCCCCGTTAATGGAAAAGCACCCCAATATTGAACATGCTCACCTTCGACGCCCGGCCCACGATAAAGAGAGGCCGATCGAAAAATGGGTGGTTCTCGCGCATGTCCTCCTCGATTCGATTCCTAAAAAGGGACCGTTAGATCTCGCTTGGAAATGTCACTATCCCTTGAAAAGGCCAAATCGCTACCTGGTGATCTCGGCTAGCTGGCGCTTTTGCTGAAGGGCTCGGATGTCGATTTCGCCCTGCTTGGCGTCCTTTTTGGGAGCAGAATCTGGAAGAGGCTGGAGTTTCCTAGGCTTGGGCCTGGCTTTGGCTTGGCTTCGGCTTGGCTTGGGCTTAGGGCTAGAGTTAGGCGTAGGCTCAGGATTAAGCACAGGTTGCGGCTTCACAAGGCTTAGTCTTGGCTTAGCTTAGCTTGCGAAATTGGCTTGGCTTAGGTCTAAGCTTAGGCTTGGTCTGGGCTTAGGATTTGGTTTGGGGTTGAGCCCAGGTTTAGGCTTCAGAGAGTTGAGCTTGGCTTATCTTGAATTGAAAATCAGGCCTCGCATAGACTTAGGTTTAGGCCTAGGCTTAAGCTTGGGATTAAGCTTGGGCTAAGCTAAGGAATAAGCTCTCTATCTCTCTCTCTCTCTCTCTCTCTCTCGTCTTTTCCCCCACCTGACGGCCTTATCATATCCCCATTCTCGAAATGTTCAAAGAATTTCGACTGGAAAGAGGATTGATGTGGGTGGTGGAACATCTTGGAAGGCTGCTGTCGGGCTTTGCTGAAGCTGAAAACAGGGAAATACATACCATATCGCTAGTATCGTTTGGCATTAAAGGGGTTTCGTTCCCAAATCAGCCGATTCCTGTCATTCTCTCGGTGCACATTCCCGACATGCCACGGGCCACAGTCCAACAAGGCCGCATTGGGACAAAGGGTTTCTGCTAGTTGGGCACCACCCATTTCAATGGGGAGGTACTTTTAGAAGGGATTATTTTCATAATGATGAGATTCATAATGCCAAATTTTCAGGAGTCGAAATTTTTTCTGGATTTTTCAAGGGCAAAAACTGTTTTGACTCAAAAAAGGCAGGAAATTTCGGCATTATGGCAAGTCGGCATTATCGATTTTGACAGTCTTATCGATCGGCATTAAGTACAGTATGCGCTCGTACGGTAAGTGTAGTGACGCGTAGTTTAGGGCACAGAGAAGAGGGGTGAGTGGGCTACGGTACTCAGGGCCATTCAGGGATACGGTAGCGTACGCAGCGAGACTAATTCCGATTTTTAGGCTTAAAAGAACTAAGAAATGTGATTTTTTGATTATAATAAATTATTAAATCCAAGTAAAAACAATTTTAAAAAGACCGCTAATTCAAATTTGTGTTTAAGATTTCAAAATTTAGTGGTTTTTGTAGATTTGGCGGTTTCCCAGCCTTGAAAAATAGGGTTACGATTTTCCGAGCCTTCTAAAGGGGCTGGGAAGCAAAAGCTTGCGCGAAAACGGTAGATTTTCATTATTTATCAGGTGTCACTGTCCCTTTAAACCGCAAAAAATGGAATTACGTTTCACTACGTACTCGCGTGGCCCCGAATGCCCTGAGGCTACACCCAGAGAGAGATTATTGCGCTCCAGATTTCGCTACAATACCTAACGGTCAGCCGGGCCGGCAGCAGTTCGTTGAGTCTAAAAAATGGGGGGTGGGTACGATAGGTGAGGGGGAAGGAGGGGGAGGGATACGGTAGCCGAGCAGGCAGGCAGGGATGGGAAATATTGCGTGCCATTCACGCGGGTGAACTGAAATGTTCGCCGGGCTGCTCTCTCTCTCTCTCTCGCTCTCTCTCTCTCTCTCTGTCTATCTATTCTCTCTCACTCTCACTCTCTCTCGCTCTCTCTCCCTCGCTCCCTCGCTCTCTCTCTCTCTCGCTCTCTCTCGCTCCCGCGCTCTCTTTCCCTCTCCCTCTTTCTCTCTCCCTCGCCCTCTCTCTCTCTCTCGCCCTCTCTCTCTCTCTCTCTCTCTCTCTCTCTCGGCAATCCTTCACGGGCAGCCATTTTACACCATCAGCACAAAATTGGCAAATTTCCGGCAAAAGCACAGCTCTCCTAAAGGGCCATTGAAGACAGCTGGGGGATTCGGGCGGGCTGGGCACCATGCCGGGTCTTACGGTATCGCATCTTTGCGCCGATGCACCGACTGTGAGAGTCGGGGCAGGAAGTGGAAGGATGAGGCGACCAGCTGGCGTGTACGCTCCGAAAAGCTGCAAATGACGCACGACACTTATCAGGGGAATATATACAGTTTCGAGGTGCTGGTGTACGGTATATTGGGATGTATGGTAGCTGAACACGATAGGTAGAATTTTTAGCATTTTTTCTTGTTTTTCATTTTTGCCTTTGCAACAACGTCAAGAAATTCCAGGAAATCCTCAAAAATCTCTGCCAGCTAACCCCTACTAAAGTACGACGACTTCAAGGAGTTCATCTTAAAGCAACACTTAAGACACTTGGCAGTTATTTTTGAGGTTTTTATGATTTGAAATTAAACCAAGAAAAGAAGAGAAGAATTTCGTAGTTCGTAAACTAGAGTAAATGCTAAAAATACTGTTACCGCATCTACGCTAAATTCAACTTTTTCAAGGCGCTCAACTAAGTGATGAACCTCGGCTAATTTCTTTGCTCTTTGCGTGGTTGTCCGGTTTTTGGGTTTTGTCAAGTTAAGTTAAAACTCCTGGAAAATTGCTGCGCTTTCGGACGCCCAACGTCCTCAAGGAGTTCATGTGGTTTGAAAGCAAGCTAGCAGAAATTTTTAGGATCTTGGATACCTAAGTTTCTAAGCAATCTTTTTGAAAACTTTTATTTCGTCTCTAGCTCGCACTCTCTCTCTCTCTCCCGATTTCTCACGACATCAAGGGATCCCCAGAATTCATGATGCTCCGGACAAATCAACCAAAAAATGAAAGTGACACGAGCCCCTAGAGTGTGGTGGGTGTACGGGCCACGATTCCGGGGGTGTCTCTGAGGTTCTAAATGACGACAAAATATTGTGGGTTACGGTAGCAGATCATTTGTTGGACCCACTCGAGGAGGTTGGCGATGGAGGCCTTCATGCTATTGCTGCCGATATGGCGGACGTGGGGCTGGGTACGGTAGTTTTTTCGGCGCGAGGCGGCCAGGCGGAAGACGCACTTGGTCATGTCGACTTCTGGAAAAAAAATATACTTAGCTTCTTCTGGCTGTTTGTCTGTCGGTCTGTCTCTCTCACTCTCTCTCATTCTGGCTCTCGTTCTCTCTCGCTCTCGCTCTCCCAATCTCTCGTTTTCTCGCTTTCTTTTAGCTGGGACCGATTTGTTTCTCTGCGTTTCAACTGAACAGCTTGAATTCGTTGACCATCAGTAGGTTAGTAGGACAATCTCTGTGTGTCTGTCTGCTTGTATTTCTGTTTTGTCTTACTCGATCTCTCTCTCTCCCCCGGTCACTCTCTCTGTCTCTCTCTCTCAACTTACCCATATCCGGGCTCTCCGGCTCGGCGTGCTCGATCGAGAACTGATGCGTAAAGCTATCCCGCACCTTGAAAAATAGAAGTTGGTTTTCACCAACTTCAACAAGTTCACCTTCGGCATCGGAAACTCCGAGTCCACTTTCTTCATCCGGACCATCTGGGGTCTCGTCGGGAATTTCTCAAATACCCGTAATCGCCATGGTAATGTTGAGCGCATCTCGGTAGTCTGGGATACAGTATTACAGGGTTACTGTGAACGTACCGCTTCTCTGGCCTTCAACTGCTTGACCCTCTTCAGCTCCTCGTCCATCTCGAGGTTGTCGAGGATGACGGCGACGAACAGGGAGAGCACAATCTGAAGAAAGACAAGATAGAGAGAGAGAGAGAGAGAGAGAGAGCGAGAAGGAGGGAGAGAAATATTCACTTACCAGGGTCACGAACAGGTGATAGGCGACAAAGTAGATGGCCACGAAGGGGACGACGCCGTCAGGGGTGGCACGGAGAACCTGCATTTTTGAGATATCTCCCGCTCTCATCTTTCATCTCTCTCTCTATATATATATCTCTCTCGTTGCGCTCTCTTATCTCTCTCTCTCTCTCTCTCTCTCTCTCTCTCTATCTCTCTCTCTCTCTCTCTCTGGCTCCCCTGCCCTCCTTGAACTTGCCGCCTACCTCGACCACAAAATCCGTCCAGCCTTCCTGCGTTATAATCTGGAACATCGACATGAACGCCTTGGGGAACGTGTGGAAGTGGTCCAAATGCGGCACGGAATTGAACAGCTGCAGCGAGATCGCCGAGGCGATGATGACAAAGGTGATGGTGAAGATGACCAATCCGCCGAGCTTCTTGCCGGGGCTGAAGATCTGCAAAAAATCTTCTCTCTCGCTTTCACGCTCCCTTTCAGACTGGCGCGCTGAAATTTGGGAATCTTCTACGCACCTTCCACACAAAATCCTCCAATATCGGCGAGGCTTTGATGAGGCGAAGCAGGCGGAATGCTTGAAAGTAGGTGAAGTAGTTCCGATCGTAGAAGTACGGGATCAGGTTGAGGGAACTGCCGATGCACAGGATCAACTCGAACCTGCAAAATAGAAATTACGAGATTTCCGGTAAAGGATTTTTTCGAAAATTTCCGTGCAACGAAAAGTCAGCTTTATTTTGGCCCGATATTGCTTCGCAGGCCCTTCAAGAAACCCCACTTGAAGATGCCCCTCTTGATAAAAGGGCCCCAGCTGAAGCACAAGATCTTCGACAGGCACTCGATGTTGAACAGGATTGTGAAGCCGATCTGAAAAGGCTTTCTATCGCTCTCTCTCTCTATCTCTCTCTCTCTCCTTCTGTAATTTTGTTTGGCTCTAGCTTCTAAGCTACATCTGACAAGAACTGCTTGAACTCCGCGCCCAGCTCCCGATCAATGGCTTTCAGCTCCCCGCTCTCTCGCTTTCGCTCTCGCTCTCTCACCTCCCTGTCTCTCTCCCTATCAAGAACTGCTTGAACTCGTCGCCAACCAACCGACTAACCTCAATATACCAGTAATATCTCCTTCTGATCCTGTCCGACTCGTCGTGTTTGTGTACAAACGACGCGTTGATGACGGCGTTGATGAGCACGAAGAAGATGACCAACCCTTGGAAGGCCATCGAGCGCAGGAACTGAAAAAACTCGTGCTTTTCAGTCAGATTCCGCTTTTGGACAGTTGAAATTGGGGGAGAAGGGCGTCTGGGTAGGGGGAAGCGTAAAACAAAAGAGGGCGTGGATTCGATTACGAGAAGGGATTCTTGAAGTAGTGAAATCTAGGAAATCCACGCCCTCTTTTTGGAACATTAGGTGGAAGTAGCTGCGTGGATCTCCTCCCGGGGCTCCCGTTTTGGGATGCTTGGCTTGGCTGGCTTAGGCCAGGGCTTACAAGGAAACCTCCCCAGCTCGAAGTTGGACTTCGATTAGCCATATAGCCTATCTGATGACACGCTGATACCGCATACCGCTACCGCCTTTCACGCTGATAACGATACCGATATTTATTTTTGCCGAGCGCCACAGGAACATTGTTAAAAATCGATTTAAAGTTTTGTCATGTTTGGCAGCCCCGCCTCAAAGCCCCTCCCCACGGGGAAGGATCCATCGGCGGCGTGGTGTAGTCGGCAAGTACTTGGCCTACCAATCTAGAGGTCGCTAGTTCGAGTCTTGCCGCTGACGACTTTTTTGCTTTTTGCTTCAAAAGTGCTGTGAAGGTCCTACAAGTCATCAAGAAAGATATTTTTACGTTTTTTTGCACATTTTGTAGTTAATTCAGGTAGTTATGGCTACAACGTACCACAGGTCTCGATACGATCCTCATGAATTTTATGACCTCAAAACGCTTACCTTGGTGCAGAAATGAAGCTTGACATAAGATGTAAAAAAAACTTAAAGACAGAACCTAGTATTTCCTTCTCCTTTTTTCAAAAAGTTTTCAAAAGAGTGGCTGGTGCATTAAATAGTTGGTGATCCACCGATAATTCCAAATGTCTTCGGCTGAAAAACAGTCTTTCCGAGAAATCGAACCGAGCAACTTGAATTGGTGAACAAAAGTTCAAAAAAACTTAAAACCATATTTCTTGATGACTGATAGGACCTTCACAGCACTTTTGAAGCAAAAAGCAAAAAAGTCGTCAGCGGCAAGACTCGAACTAGCGACCTCAAGATTGGTAGGGCAAGTACTTGCCGACTACACCACGCCGCCGATGGATCCTTGCCCGTGGGGAGGGGCTTTGAGGCGGGCTGCCAAACATGACAAAACTTTAAATCGATTTTTAACAATGTTCCTGTGGCGCTCGGCAAAAATAAATATTGGTATCGTTATCAGCGTGAAAAACTGCATCAGATAGGCTATATGGCTAATCGAAGTCGAACTTCGAGCTGGGGAGGTTTCCTTGTTAGTGCGCCTAGACTTAAGGTAGGCCTAGGCTTCGGTTTAGCCTAGGCTTAGCTTAGGCTTAGGTTTGGCTTAGGCTTCGCTTTAAGGAGCCAAAGAACCCAAAAAGAGAGCCCGTGGACGAGCCACAGTGGGCCCGATTTGCATTTTGTCGGCACTCACTATCCGCGGGGCTAGCTCGTCGCGAACGTAGGATATTGAGAACTGAAAATGGGTGGGCGCATTAATGGTAGGTGGGTGGAGCATAGGTCAAAATAAACAGAACATGACTCTACCGCTTGAAGTTTTTGCTTGCGTCCCTCCAAGGCTAGCTCGTCATCCATGCGGATTAGTCGAAGGCCGTCTTCGGTTTTTTCGAGTTTCTGAAAGGGTGAGAGTGGATAGGAGCGAGAGTGAGAGAGTGCGAGAGCAAGAGATAGAGAGAGACAGAGAGAGAGCGAGAGAGAGAGAGAGAGAGAGAAAGTGAGAGAGGGAGAGAGAGAAAGAGAGAGAGAGAGAGAGAGAGAGAGAGAGAGAGAGAGAGAGAGTGAGAATGAAGGCTAAAGTGATAGCCAATACCTGCTTGAAGCCGTCATCCACCGTCACCTCCTTCTTCTGCCACATTTCACTGAACTGCACGCGGATCTCGGCGAACGTCTCGGTGATGACGGCGATGAACACATTCTGGAAATCGTGATTTTTAGAGTTCCACGGTCCCTTGAGAAAGTTCTTCTCAGGGGCACAACCCCCTTGAAACCCCGTCCGCCCACCTTGACCAGCCAGGCCAAGAAGAAGATGAGGGTGAGGAAGTAGATGAACGCCAAATGCGAAGGCAGAGAGTCCATACAGTCGTAGAGGACGTACACCCAGCCCTCCTCTGATGCTGCCAGGTAGACGGTAAAGACGGAGGCGCCTAGAATTGAGGAGTTGGACGAGTTCGATCTCACTCTCTCTCTCTCTCTCTCTTCACCCACCAAAATCGTTGAACATCCCGTAGAACCCTTCGGTCTTCGCGTCCATATTCAACCGCATGCAGACCATCGGAGCTGGACACTCGTAGCCGCCTGGAATTGTGGCTTGGTTTGTTAAGGTTAAGCTTAGCTTTGCTGCGTATAATCTTAAGTTGGCGCTAGGCTTAGATTTTGGCTTAGTTAGGCCTAAGCCCAGCCATAGCCTGTTTCAAATCAAATTTCACGAAAATTAGACGCTGCTCACCTCCTCCCGGTTGACTGCACATCGTGTCCGGGATGGCCAGGTCGGCGATTGTCACATTGTTCGGGTCGGTGGCTAAATGGCGGATCGGATAGATTTTCATAAATTCCGTTACTGTCCAAAACACAGTGATAATCCATTCGGCCGAACAATTGGATGCCCATAATGGCATAAAAGGCCATGAAGAACACGAAGAACACCGTCACGTTTTGCACTTGTTGCGAGGAGCGTCTGGAAAAATTCGGGATTTTCGGTTTCCTGAATTGTCTTTGCTAGCTGGCCTAAATGGATTTGCTGGGTTCCCTCAATGGCCTCTGCTAGCACTCCGCAATCGTCTTTACTAGCCCTCCTCAATTGTCTCTGCTAGCCCTCCCAAATGCTCTTTGCTAGCCCTCCTAGATAGTTCCTGCTAGCTTGTCGTTCGTTTTGGCTTCAAAATGGCACAGTTAATTATCAGAAACCCACTTTAACAACTGCTCGATGCGATGCTTGGGCAGCTTAAAGTTGATGATCAGTCTCAACAACCGGATGATGATGAACGGGCGGACGGAACGGACAACGGCCAATGTATCGTGGTACGGCAGACCGAGGTGAGGTAGTTGATCTCCTAAAAAAACACAAAAGTAAAAAAAAAACATTTTTAAATTCATAGACATTTTCCAAAAAGTCTGTTTTGCAAACCATGATTTTCGCAAACGTGTGCGTACCAAGGATACGGTAGGAATGGAGTGTCCACGACAGCCAATGGGAGAACAGCATAAACACGTCGAATTGGGCCCAGCGGTTGACGAGAAGGGAATCGCTGTCCTGGAATGAGGGGCAGGCTAGCAGAGTTTCGAGGCACCGGGCGAAGCAGCCGGGATCTCGGAGGAGCCCCGTGGAACAAACAAAAAGCGAGAGAGCGAGTGAGCGAGAAGCAAGTAAATCTCTTACCCTATAGAATCCATCCCGAAACGCCCTGGCCAGGATGTCGGCGGTGAAGATGAGCACGCATATGCCGTCAATGGCCCAGACAACGTAGCCGAGGGGCCACCAAACGGCCAGTGTCTGGGGTGTGTGGATGCATACTGTAGCAGGGGTAATTTTCTAGGCTTTGGGCTAACCTGTAAATAGAGAGAGGATGCAGACGGTCTTTAGGGCCGTCTCCACGTAGACATTATCGAGGTAATCTAGATTTTTCCATTTTCTAGTCCGTCAAAGAAAGCTTCCGAAGCCCTTTCAGGCCCCTGGAGCTGAAAGCTAACAGGCACGATGCCTTTGATACGTGCGACTACTCTCAGCTACACTTTACGCTGCACGTACCTTTATTTGCCGGTCGTTTTGGGGTATTTGTGAGCATATCTGATATGATGGCGATACTTTCCCTAGGTGCAAACTGCGTGCCACCGATTCTGAAACAGGGAGAAATTAGAGAGGAGAGAGAGAGACAGAGAGAGAGAGAGAACGCGCGAGAGAGCGAGAAGGAAAGAGAGAGAGAGAGAGAGAGAGAGAGAGAGAGAGAGAGAGCGAAAACGAGAGAGAGAGAGAGAGAGAGAGCGAAAGGAGAGAGGGTGAGAGAAAGAAAGACTATCTGCACTACCTTGTTGAAGAGTTCTTCCTGGCTAGCATCGCCGACGACAGGACGGCCGCCTTGGCCACTGAAAAATATATATATATTAGAATTTGCCTACTCAATCCCTTTGACTCGGCTAACTGGCTGATCCAAGGTATTTTGATACCATAATTAAAACTTTTTTATAAAACTACAAATTACCATATTGCTCACCATTTTTCTGGCCTTAAAGTCTGCTTAATTTATAGGTTTTATAGATTTTCTAGCTTTTCAAGTCTAGCAATACAAGACTAGAATCGTTATATTATTCTTAGGGGGCTGGCCGGGAAGTAGTGGTGGTGTGTGTGATGGACACCTCTTCTGCCGCTTCAAAGTGAGGGGCCAAAAGGGGGCCCACTCACCCACAAATGGCCATTTCGATTAGAGGGGGGAAGAGGAGGGCCATCTCTCTCTCTCGCTCTCTCTCTCTCTCGCCGACGAACAGACAAAACCTAAACGATTGTGCCGCGTACACCACCGAAAAACCCACTTCTCCACCAGCTTCACCCCGGGGAAAAGTTAATGAAATTCCAACGCCTCGTCGCGGTCTCTCACTCTCGCACTCTCTCTCACGCTCCCTCTCTCTCAGGCTCTCTGCCCTGTTTTAACTGGCCCATCCCAATAAATGGGCCACTTTGGGCTGAGCGGTGAGGATGGCTACGATTTTTGGGCTAGTGCGGTTTTCACGGGACCAGTCAGACGAAATACCCACAACTGACAAACCATCGCTGCTAGCTTGCCACGAATGCCTGGAAGTTACGCAACGATCTCTGCAAGGTTGGTGACGCAAAGAGCTCTGCTATTTTGCCCGTGTGTTTTTCGGGCTATGGATCCTGTGCGCCTTCCGCTACGCGGCGATACGCAACATGGCTGTCGGCTGGGGGCGCGTTGCGTCTCGCGAGTTGCGGCAAATCATAGGGAATCGATAGACAGAAAAAGCCATGGACTTGGCTTGCCCGTCCCTTTTTCGTAAAGGTAAAATTTTCATGGGTTTTTCGTACTTTTGCATTATGGGGGGGGCGGGGTATCAAAAAACTCTCAAATCTTAAGGTTGGAATTTTGATCAGGGTATGCTTTGGCATAAAAAAAATCTTTTCTGCCAGTTTTGAGGCGAACGCCTATAAAATTGCTGAAATTTACCTCATTTTGGCCGAAAAATCAAAAAAATATGGCAGCGATTTTTTTAGGAAAAGTTTTGCGTGTGCAGCGATAGAATCGGAGCGAATGGAAAGAGGGGTTTTGGGCAAGCGGGGGGCCATGCAAGGCCATAAGAAGGGGGGACACTTCACTCCAACCCCCCTGAAATATGGGCCCATCTCGCCCGACTACACCAGCCACCTATCGACAATCACGCCATCCGTACGAAAAGGGAAATTCGGGGGTTTTTAAAGGGACGAGCTGGTTCGAAATGTCGAATATTCACGAAAAAAAATCCCAGAAATCTCTCAAATACTATGGAAAAATGCCGACATATTCAAATTTCGACATGAGAAAGAAATCTCGAGATTATGATTTTTCGGCGTGCTAAAATTTCGACAGTCCGATTTTTCGGTACCGCGAACCAGAAACTCAGAGTTTCGAAAATAGCAATGTCGGCATTATGAAGCTTCGACATTTCGAAATATTCCCCCAAAGGGACAAACTACTGAACGCCCTCAACCTGTCGAAATGCCGGTGCGGTAGATGGACGACGTCTGCGACGAGTGTCGATGGCGTTTCATGTCAAACTTCAGCTCAATCTTCTTCAGGTCGAACGGTATCGTGGAGATCATTATTTGGGGGGCATGAATTAGCAAAAAATGGGGGAGTTTTAGATAGATTTTTAGATGGATTTTAGAGAGGCGAGGCTGGGGGAAGGGCTTTTTCGGTCGGCTCATCGCTATAGACCCCCCCATGGGCTGATGAATCGAATTATAAGGGGGGTTGGAGATATGCCGTGAATACCCCCAGGGGATGAATGCCCCCTTTTTCCTCTATCACCCCTCATTGCCCAAAAAAAAGAGAAATTATTCGGGGTAACCCGAATAATAAACCGAAACCCAAGGTAACCCGAATCTAAAACAGTTCTTGGTCTTTTTGGGGTTTAAAGGGACTGGGACTGGGGGAATTGGACACTGGTAAACGACGCAAGGTATTAAAGGAAACAGGCAGTACTTTTCTGCACGAGTTCCAGTAATGATCCCGACAGAAAAAATCCCGACAGCCAAAATCGGATTTTGTATATTGAGATTATGGGTGTCGGGATTATGGTTGCCGCTGCTTTCGCTGTCGGCATTTTGTCCGCCGGACTTATGCCCGTCGTTATTTTTTCTGTTGTCATTTCTATCGGGGTTAGGGCTGTCGGAATGTCCGCGTTTTCTTTTACGCGATACTCTGTCCACACTATTCTAATTTTTAAGAAATTTCGAAGTTTTTTACCTTTAACGGGACCGGGACACGACAAAGATCCGAAACTTTTTCACAAATTACGGTAATTTCTAGTTTTAAAGCGACTATAGGAGGTGAAAATTGGGTGTATGAGCGCGTACAATGCGTCGAACAGTTCAAAATTCGCTTTTCTCAAAAGTTGAAACGAATCAAGGATTTTTAAGGGTACTGAGAAGTAGGTGGAGTCTTTTTCGGGCATTCAAAAAAGAATTTGTCTCTTGGCTTTTAAAGGTACCAGGAAGTGAAAAACCCACGCTGTACCTTAAGCGGACTCAAGATCTAGAGGTAAAAATTAATGATTTCTCGCTTATGGGATGGGCATTGATTCATTCATGAACAACGAAGGGAGCTTGGACGTCTCAAAAAGCTGGATACCGTAGATTTTGAGGCGTCTTTGATCCCACGTATGCAAATTAGCCAGCCGGGATAATGAGCGGCAGCAGCAGCAGTCCAATCTCAACCCCCCCCCCCTGAGATGGGGTTGCACTTTCACCCTCCATATCGGGGGGTCAATCCCAATTTCCTGAGCACCATCACTCAGCAGGCCCTGGAGCTGAGGTTCAGCAGTCAGACCAGTCAGACAGACTCCTCATCTGAACGCTGTCAGTTCTGGGTACGAGGGGAACCCGCTGACATTTCCGGCGGGGATGGGGCCGCAGCAGGGGAGCATGGAATTAGGCAAAAATCTGGCAGGCTTGGGTATTTTAGAGTGTTTCCTATCAAAACGCCAAGATTTAGATTTCCGACACTTCCCCCCAGCAGGAATGTTTCTGCTATAACTTTTTATTTTACATTATTGTAGGCTCACATCAAAACTCTTAGTATTTTTCTCCGCTCTATCGAATGGCGCTGCCAAAAATCCCGACAAAATAAGCGAAAATACCGAAAACTTTGAGATCCTTCGGCTGTGGGGGGTAAAGTAAACCTCAGAATGTATTGAGGTGATGAAAAATCAATATACATAAAAATGCCTTGCCTACCCCTTTAAAAGCTTCGAAATATCACTTAAAAGTCCTGTACAATCTTTTTGGCAATAATCCATTCAACGCTTAACGAGATTAACGATAACGAGGATTGCCGAAACCCCCTGATACCTACCCGATCTCTTCTGCGTGACGATGAGACTGCGTTTTCGGTCCTGCGGGCCGGAGGGAGGGCCCGAGCCCGACCCTCTTGATGACGTCAACATCATCTTCGCGATGATCTATCGCTCTCGCATTCCCCCAACCCTTTAATGGGAAGTGTAACCGGTAGAAACAAGAAAAGACGAGCAAAAGGTAATTAGAATGGATATAGTTAGATCAAGGGAGGAGCAGAGGAAAGCAACCCAGCAGGGATTCTTGAGGACCAACAAGTGTTGGTAAGTTCTGAGTCAAAAAAGGATCTCGCGACAACCAGCTGCAGCTTCACCGGAAGGGTTTTGTGGTAGGGGTTGATTGGGAGGGTTGGTTGTTTGTATGTATGTCTCTCTCTCTCTCTCGTCTCTCTCTCTCTCTCGCTCGGTTTCGGAAGAAATCCCCGGAGGGCGGGCCATCCTCATCCAATTAGCACTGACTTCTGCCAACTCGCAACATTGCGACCAGCGGATAGAGTGAGAGAGGAGAGAGAGAGCGAGAGCGAGCGAGAGAGTGAGAGAGAGAAATATTTCATCTGATAAAGCGTTTAAAGGGGCACGTACTCGCTACGTTATGCAAAAATAATGTGAAAATGACGCGAGACGAACGGGGCTTTCGAAAAAAGAGCACCCGGAAAACTTGGCGGGGGGATGGGTCTCAAAGGCCCTGTGGGGCCATAATCCAACATCGGTGGAATGTTGTGTGGGTTTGGCTGAAGAGAGAGAGAGAGAGAGAGAGAGAGAGAGAGAGAGAGAGCGAGAGAGGGAGCAAGAGAGAGAGAGGGAGGGAGAGAGAGAGAGAGAGAAGCGTAACGCGCCAGATAGTGTCGTGGCAGGCGGCCATTACTTAAGGCATGGGCGAAGCCGGGAGGCTTCTCTATGCCGCCCGTCTTTTTTCAACCTCCTAATTGGTGGGGTTCTAATGAAGGGCTGACGGCTCGAGGACTCGCCGCGCCACAAATCATTTATTCTGTCGGTGAGGACTCAATTCCTCAATCGTCACGGCCAGCTTGCCCCTAGATCTCTCACTCTCGCTCTCTCTCTCCCTCTCTCTTTCTCTGACTCACTTTCTAGCCCATTCTCATTCAGTTCTGCTTCACGATCTCCCCAACTAGCAAAAAATGCACAAAGAAACGCTGCTTGCTGCCCTCAAAATTGTCAAAATTCTAAGACGCAAAAATAACGATAAAAACAAATCTCGAATCTC